AAAGAAAAAAAGTAATGAACCCTGATCTGTGTTTTCCTACCTCGGGCTAGAATTTTAAAATCTTGGCATTGCGGCGTGACTATTGAAAAAAAAAAGAGTGATGATGGAGACTATTTTTGAAGAGCGGGGAGAGAATGTGAATGCCTTCTGAGAAGTACACTCTGACTGCTGTGAGACGAAATACAGCACGATTTCCTCCACAAAACCGTATTTTTCAAAATTATTTGCCTTGTTGTTTTACAAAGAAATTCCAATTCTCTTTGTCCAAAGGATTTATATACGGTAGCCGTTTCTCAAGTTACTCATCATATATATCATGATACTACTCCAAGCAGGTTTTCGTGGCCAGAGTGCAACGACTCCCAAATCAATGATCCCCTCAGTCAAAAAATGTATCCCCAGGAAGCAGTTTTTTTTAGGATACCTACAGGAAGGTTGAATAGCTCATATAGGTCCTAATGTCTGGCGGGGCACAAAAATCCTTCACGTTCAAGAATTTCCATGTGAATCTATGTATGTATCCATGCCTCTTTTCAAAACTCAGTAGGCAATGGAGAATACAGTATACAAAAACTTTGAATTATTGAACAATTACATTAAAGCAGGTTGTCAAATTTAAATCCAAATACAGTACTCAATTCACCGTACATGATAAATATCATAAAATTTTGATAAACCGGCCATATTGATAAGATGGGAGATGGAGAACACATAGTTGGAGCATCCCGTCATGGCTTTTTCAATGGAAATATAGTGTTGAAGACTAGAAACATTTCTTACTTCGTGCTTCATTTTGTTCTTACAATTCATAATGTACTGTGTATACTGATTATTTGGATAGAAATTTGACTGTGATACATTCAACTGAAAACTGCATTCATATTTGGTTATTAATGCAGCATGTGATTTCTCTCCATGCTTGGCCAAACAAGTTATCAAAAAAGCCTTTTCCCCATACGTGATCTCACATTGTGGGATTTTTCAATGTAAAAGATTTTCAGACTTGGGAGATTCTTGAGCCATGGGATTTTCTCTTGCATTTGATATTCTTGTAAGGCCAATATTTGAACTGCAGGAAAATTAAACCAGTTTTTAACACGTTTTTATTAACTTGCTTTCTTGTCTGTTTGTTTGTCCGGATCAAATTTTGAAACTCAAATTTCGCTCACTTCCCGACTAGCTAGCAAGCTGAAACTTTCAGGATAGCTTAGAAACTGATGAGAATGCAATCTTTTGTGAAAAGAAAAATTATCAGAATATTTTTTAAAAAGAATAAAATACTTATAGTAGATTAAAAAATTAATCTAAAAAACCATGTTTTCAAAAAGGAAAAAATAACCTTAAACGTGGTGCGCATGGAGATTGTTGGGAAGAAGTGAAATACAAATGAAATAGATGCGCACCACGTTTAAGGTTATTTTTTGCTTTTTGAAAACGTGGTTTTTTAGAGTAATTTTTTAATCTACTAAATTTTTTGGGCTTTTTAGTCTTACTTGAAAAACGTGGTTTTTTAGATTAATTTTTTAATCTACTATAATTTTCTGCTGCACTGCTTCATCCCAAAGCATCATTGCTGTGATATTCCTTTGAAAACAACTGAACGAAACTCAAAACTCCACCTTTTTAAATTTTTTAAAATAATATCCCAAAAGAAATATCGAATATAATGCACATCCAAGCATGTGAAACTTTTTAAAAATTAAATGCTGAATGTCCCCATAATTCATACCAAGCCTGGAACCCTGAAACTCGGCGCTTCCTGAGAAAAAATTGGCAGCCTGCATAACGGGACTGCCAAATGAAAGGCGCTGTTTTTGGCGCTGGGTAAAAAATCCCCCTCAGGGAAAAGTGACGAATCAGAAGCTGTAATTCGCGCCCGAAAGGAAGAAGAAATAAAATAGAAGTTCGACGTCAGGACCGAAACCCTGGTTGACGGGTATAAATTCGGCCCTCGCAGGCCTAGACTCTTCAGTCACAGCCGGAAAGTTGCGAGTTTCAGTTTGAGATAATTTTGAAAAGGATCTCGCCCATTTTTTTTTAATTCTCGAAGGTTATCTCGTAGCTTTCCCGCAGACCACAAATCATCATGAAGACTATTGTTATGGTGAGTTTCTAAATTTCCTGCAAAGACTTTCTTATGAAAAATACTTTTTTCCCACAAGATGATGTGTTTTAATAAACTTTTCTTCTCCAAAAATATAAATAAAACAGTTCGCTTGCCTCGCGGCAGTCGTCTCATCTGGAACTATCAAGACCGAGAAGGCTCGTGTTGAGAAAAGCCAAGGACCAGCAGGATTTGCCTACAGGTCAGTAAACTGCTAAAAAAAAAATCATCAGGGATCTTAGGAATAATATTCCAAGAGAACTTGATCATCATCCAAAAGTCCATATCTAACCACAACCAAAGCAACGAAACCCCCATAATTTGAGCTTTAAATCTTGAAACATTTAAGGTCATGCCCTCGAAAAGTTATTCAAAATTTCCGGTGAAAGTAAAAATGCAATTAATCTGTACCACCGAATACATTCAAAAATTCCAAATACAGAAAAAAGCTAAAATTGTTGTCCCCATCCTTGGTTTTCTCCAATAATGAACTTTTTTTTTTTGGCTTTGAAAATCTGATCTAACATCAACTTAACATGGCCATTTTTGGGTCTTTAAAATAGGCATAAATTTGAATATTGATTAATTTCACAGTCCATTTTAATCCATTAAAAAATTAGCATTATACGCTCAGTTCAACTTCTGCATATAAGCATCTAAAATTGAGATAAGTCTTCATGCATGTAGATGTCACTGACTGTCATAAATGTAACTTGAGTTTGTGTTCGGATTGCTGAAAAAAGGTTAATAAAGAGAAACAAAACCAAAAATGGTTCAGGCTATACACAAAAGGCACGTTTACAAAGGTTCCTTTAAAAATAGCTCACATTGCATTAAAAATATCAGAAAATGCAAAAAGGAATAACTCATTTCACTTATGTACATTTGATCCAAGTGCTTTTGTGTAATATGCGCTCTAAATGGTTTCTTTCGAATCTATAAAAGTACCGCAAAGTGTGTATGATGGTATTCATTGCTGGTCTGACTCTTGTTTGCTGAAGTCTTATTGAAATATACATATTCACTTTATTGAGAAGTCTAGATTCACTTTGCCTGGCCATAAAGAACAGAATTCTTCTTGACAAAAGGTTTATCCTGGAAAGTTGAGATTTTAGATTAATCGTGTAGTGAAGAAAGACGTTTCTCTCTACGCAAAAGTGTCTTTAATCAATTCTTTCGCCGGTTTGGGATAACATCGCATTAAAAATATCAGAAAATACAAAAAGGATTAACTCATTTCACTTATGTACATTTGATCCAAGTGCTTTTGTGTAATATGCGCTCTAAATGAGTTGAAAAAAGGGAGCCAGCTTCAATCATAATTCATTAAAATATAAAGAAATGTTAATTCATTGCCATGAACACAATTTTTTCCTTGAAAATGCCATTTTTTATTGGGCTACATATTATGCCACAATGCTATGACAAAACATGGAAGCCTCTTAATAAAGAAGGCTTTTAAACCATTGATACCCATTTCCTCAGGATATCTGAGATTCCACACTACATAGGATACTAAAATCTAAAAATAAAGAAAACTATAAAATTGTATGTGAATTCTGGGAAGTTCTTTAAATGCCTAATTCTACCCAGAACTCCAAAGAGTCCTAAAATTTAATAATGTGAAACTAGCTGAGATAACTAATCCATTCCAGGTTGTTTGTAAATTTCTTTCATAAGGATTGAAAAATAACCCAAAATAGATGCATTAGCACCACAAAGTATTACAAAATTATTCACCCTCTGGAATAAGGTATAAAAGCTCAAGGTCCAACATTATCAGGATCTACTGCTGTATCCAAAGTTGACACTTATTCTGCACAGCAGACCACCGAAATTTTTCATATTTTCATTAATAGCAATAAATTATATTTTTTAAATATTGAACTGGTGTGTAACCTATAAGACTGGAGTCTACAGTATTGATGACTTTTTCCTGAGCAGAAAAGTTGATTTGCATATGTTTCATATAGTCAAGGGCTTTTCTTGTATTTTGAATATTGTATTCATTTCCCATCATTCAATTGCACGGAAAAAGGGTGGATTTCAATTTTAAAAAATACCGTCAAACAAATTTATTCATGTTTCTTCTATATTACAAAACAATTTCACGAACATTTGTGAATGTATTCTTCGGCGGGATTTTTTCAATGTAACTTCAACAAGTGGATAATTTTTTCAGAGTAAACATTTTATTTTAGTTTTTTTTTAATTCTTTCTCCGTATTCCACTTGAAACCTCTGTTATTTTTCTTGATAATACTGTCACTCCATAATCAATCTCTTCTGAAAATAAACGCAGATGTTCATCAATTTATATCTGCTTTCAAAAAAAATTCTGAATTTTTGCTGCGATCTGATTCTTTTATTTGTTTGGATCACCGAAAGTTTCGATTTCCGCTTCATGTTTCAACTTTCAGATAAGAAGCAAAAGATGGAAAAATTAAAGGATGCCTAATTCTCAATTTAAAAAAAAAGTCCCATTTCAGATGTGGGTCATGAATTAAATTATGCGTAAATTTTAATTACTGGGATAATTTTCTTTCCAGTAGAATGATTTATTAGTCAACTCAGCGGACTTAGATTAAAAAGTCTGTCATGCAAATTCAATTATTAAAAAATTAAAATTTTCACATATTATCCATATCTTTAAACCAACAGCAGAAGTCTGTTATGCCGATTTAGTCCGCTTCGCACGAGGGAAAACTGCATGCACAGGTGGTGTTTTGTGCAAAAGTCCGTTGTGCGGGTGGTCCATTGTGCAGGGGTCGTCAACTGTAATTTTCAATAATGGAAATAATTTGTTCAATTTTTACAGCACCTCCGAGACAAAGACTTTAGCCGAAGCCGGGCCAGCCGTATTCCCAGCCTACACTCCGTACGCCGCCGCTTTCCCAGCCTCCTTCGCCGCCACGCCTTACTATGCCACCGCCGCCTACCCAGCAGCAGCAGCAGGGTACTCGGGATACTCCACATTCGCCTACAAGCCCTACGAAGCCGCCCCAGTGGCCTTCAAAACCGCCTTTGACGCCCCGGTGCCAGTCGCCTACAAAGCCTACGAAACCGCCGCCGTAGCAGAACCAGCATTCACCTACAAGACCTTCGAAGCGGCGCCAGCTGGTCACAAGCACGGTCACAAGCACGGTCACAGGTACGTCTCCGAAACCCCGTCGCCAGCTTCCTTCAAGACCTACGAAACCGTGGCGCCCTTTGCTGAACACCCCACGACCTACGTGAAGACGTCCTACGAAGGCGCCGCGGCGCCCACTTACTTCAAGTCCTACGGCGTCAAGCCCAACTACTTTTACAACTACGGGTACCCGGCGGGTTACTACGCCGCGGGTTCTTACCCCGCTGTTGCTGCTGCTGCCCCGGCTTACGGGTACCGTTATGGGTACCAATACTAAAAATGATTGATTCAGAAGTAAGAAAACAAGGGAGAAGAAGAAAAAAACGGGAAGAACTTGATTAAGAATTGTTTGCGCAAAGAAAAAAAGAAAAAAAGTAATGAACCCTGATCTGTGTTTTCCTACCTCGGGCTTGAATTTTAAAATCTTGGCATTGCGGCGTGACAATTGAAAAAAAAGAGTGATGATGGAAACTATTTTTGAAGAGCGGGGAGAGAATGTGAATGCCTTCTGAGAAGTTACACTCTGACTGTGAGACGAAATACAGCACGATTTCCTCCACAAAACCGTATTTTTCAAAATTATTTGCCTTGTTTTACAAAGAAATTCCAATTTGCTTTGTCCACAGGATTTATATATGGCGAATGTAGACAATTAACCGAAGAAACCATGTCTCTGAAGTTCTGAACACATTTCATCCCTTTTGAAAATCTACACCAATAATATTTTCACATGTATTACTTCAAACTTGATTAAAAAATAAAGTTTCACAGATTTTAAGCTGCATTAAAAACATTCCAGATGCAAGCAACATCTGAGTGCTGATGAGGCAGTTACCCAGCCTCCAAGGAAATTCAATTTTAAAAGTGAAAAATGCCATTTTGACGGCAAAAATAATCAAAGCTGGAGCATCCGCTTTTCTTTAATCATATAAAAATTGACCTGATTGACAAATCTTGAGATATTCTCACTTGTTGGGAATAAATCCCAACAAGGTGAAGATTAGAATTTAGGATTGAAAGTTTTATAAAAAGAGTTTTAAATAAAACACAAGACTTTGGTCGGGCTACAACCGGGGTGCAAAACACCCTATTTTAAAGTTGGTATATATCGGCACACACAAAGATCTCGCGAAAATCTCAAAGAACGTTCACGCTCGACTCGGTGATTCGGACTCGAAAAGATGAACTTGGAAAACAGGAAAACTGTCCTCCAAGGACGAAAAACGGCAAACGGAAATTTAGTAACAAAATACAGCCTTGAAGGCTGTGGAAGGACATTTGTAATAAATTAATGCCTTGGAGGCTGCTGACCATCTGTGGGAACCAAGGTCTTCCGAGATTCCCACACAGATACTAAATGAAAGACTATATTCGTTGGGGAATTCGGGTTCTCCAAAGCTAGCGTATCGAATTTAATGTATCCGCTAAAATATTTGCGACAATTGGGTTCATTGTTGACGGCAACCTCTTCGAAGTCCCTCATGGTATTTACACTTTGGTGCTACTGTACAACACAAAAGCCAGTGTTTTTTTGCAATCTATATAACCCCTGGGTGATCAAAAAAAATGAATTGATCAAGACTATACAAATAAAATCATTTTCATTCATTTCAAAAGGTATATACGTGGAAATTAAGCTGCCATTTTAACAGGAAAACAATTTAATGTTTTCCCCCATTCGTTGTTACGGGATCACCTTTCTCAAATTCTTTACTTCTGCCTTAGTCTAATATCGGTTATGCGATAAATAATCCTTCTTCCCTCAAATTAAGCTATTATGATTCAAGAATTGCAATATTGAACAGAGGTATCAAACATATTGTAGTCAAAGGATGCAAAGCGCTTCAATATTCTGATTTCCTTCAAAAGACTTCAAAGGAAAAATGCCCGAAAATCACTCATGTGATACACTGTCAGGAAACAATATCCATGGTTTTTCATATACTGTATAAGAAAAATTCACAACCGATCAAGAAACATAATACAGGTACAGTATTTCAGATTAATTTCAAGAGAATATTTTTTAAACCCAAAAAATCCTAGAATCGAATCTCTATTGTGCAATTGAATACCGACGAAACACGGTTTCATGCATGGAGAGACCGATTGTTTAATCACGGTGACGATTGATTCGATTGTATTTCACATGGTTTTTGGATGCAGTATTTTTAGAAGCAGTTGTGCACAATACACAAAAATCCAAGATGCCATCAAGTGATAAAAATTAGAAGTGGCGTTATGAATGGGAGCCATGAAAATATTACGCCTTATATGTGCATAAACCGCATTCGTCTGAATCGTGCACCAATGAATTCGGAATTCTACGATGAAAGATTTTAATTTTTCATCAGGTTTAATATTGGATTTTTTTTCTCTTATCTCGTGATTCCTGCAAATATTTAAACTGTCCTGAAATTCCAAAAAGCAGAGTAACATGTCTGTCTTGAGCTGAGTTATTCGATCGTTCATCTCGAATCACCGAGGGTATGTGAGACATCACGAAAATATGCACGAAGTCTCATTACTTTCCAAGTTTCCAGTACACCCATGAAGTTGCTTGCAGGTAAATATTGTTACTTCTCAATAAAGAGCTGTATAACTTTTCTATCAAGAAAACTTTGCCATGGCTGATGTAGGATTAGAAAACATAGTCCACTCTGTTGCGTCTCAGACTAATTTGTATACAGTATTTCAGTGTGTCTCAAAATTGAAGGGCTTCTCAAGAATATGTTATTTCCTCAATGATTACATGGTTGAATAACCTTCCATGAAAAACACTGTTCGTTGGCGCATATCCCGCTGCTTTTATATTAAAAAAGAAACAAGAGACCTCAACTCCTCGTCTGCAATATAAATTTATGCACAGCATGTTTATTTTCGTGTCCTATTTTGATGTTTACCTCGAAGTTAGATTATAGGATCTATAAAGAGATCCTGTGTGGATATAGAGCAAGCTGCGCTTTCGAAAACGGGCTATATTGTTTCATATCATAATTTAAAGCTTTATTTATTAAATTTTGAGTTAAATCGTGAGCATATTGAGCTGAAATGGAAGTGAAAGAACTTGAAAATTCGCTGTATAGAACGTCCAGTAGATTTTTGTTGGAATTTGGAATTCATTTTTGCGACACAGCAGCACTCTTGCATATTTTTTCCAAATGACCGAATGAGTACAACATAATGTAACGAATCATATGCGGTAAGTATTATTTAACCTTTGAAGAGACACACTTTTGGCTCAAATGCTTCTCGCTCTGAGTCGAGGATCTTGTAGTGCGTCAGAATGAAAAGTTCTCTACACTTATTATGAAAGATTTCCACCTCATCAAGTCGATTTTCAAAAGCTTTCAATGTGTTTTGTCAAGTACAATATTCCATAAAAGGAAACGTTCTCACTGCTATGAAGCTCACTAATTGGAATGCTTTATTGGCGATTAGTTCGTTTAAATGCCGATGCCAAAAGGATACAAAGCTGTTGCTCCCAGGTTCAGAGTTCATAAAAATTTCTTTCATCAAAAGATGAACCGGACAGGTTTTGAACAATCAAGTCAATCAGAACGGATCATCGCGGGTCAACGGGGAAAATACACTGAACAATTAAAATATTATAACGGTTATGAAGAGAGATTATGTATCTTTCATCGTACCTATACTAAAAAAGAACGCTCAGGGTACTTTTTCTGTGCCCTGAATCCCGGAACACGAATAGACTCCAATTCACGATGCAAGAAAAAAATACAAAACTTCAAGCAACATTCTTCTCCTGATGGGAATATAATTGAAGCAAAGCAGAAGATCGGTGATGCTGCATAATTAACGTAATATATATTCTTCAATATTTTCACTATACCCCACATTCTTCTTTCTGATCCGATCTGATTCGGCAAATGATTGATTTATTATAGCTGACAATATTCAGAGTCAAGCGAAAGAAACAATCCAAGCGCATATTTTGTCTTCTGGTTCACCACGCATTTCCCACCGATCCAATTTAAACCCCTCATCCTCCCCACAAAAAAAAAGAGACAACCCCTTTAAAAAAATAAAAACAACCAAGCAATCGTCGAAATAAGAACTAAATATAATTTGATTAAAAAGAAAATATAAATTACCAGTTCGGACCCTTGGGAAGCATCAGGCCGGACAAATTTTTTTGGGAATACCCGTCAGAATAAATATTCCAGCTCAGGGGGGTGATGATTAGTGAAGACCCCAGAGGGCAGGTTCGGGTTCACCGGAGCCAAAAGCGGGCCTGTAATAAAGTCTTTGTCGGATTCCGGCTTGGTTTTGGTGTGTATATAAGTTTATGGGCATTTTTTTAGACCTGTCAATGACCATTTACTACCAAGTTCACGGCCAACTCGAAATGCTATGAAGGCATCATTAAAAAATACGTGGGAATATCGTCACAAAAATCATCACTTGTGTGTGTTGAAGGATAAGTACAGTGGATTAGTTTAGTCTACAGCAAACGACGCGTTTCCAAAAAGGAAAAGAAACATCTGTTGTACCAAAACCCTAAGAAAAATAAAAAAAAAATAAAAAGGACAAATCGAGAAAATCATTAAAAAAGAGAAAGCTAAGAAAAAGGGTTGACAGGAAGCAGCAAAAAAAAATGAGAATATCAAAACCCAAGAAATCTTGAACATTAAGAAAAGAGTTGTTCCTTGATTGGCCAAGAAGAACAAACTTTCAATCTTTGAGGAAAATCTTGTCACTAATGGCAAAGAGTCACTGATTGGCACATTTTTGAAGCAAACAGTTAGGTTTTCCTGACTGCTGTGTTTTCAAAGAGTGGGTCAGCTTTTTTAGGTTTTTTATTGTTCTTGTATTTTGTTGGAGTGCTCCAATAGTCTGTCTTCTTGATTAAAATTAGGAAGGAAATACATCTTAATTTTAAACTTTAGTCCTTTTTAAACTAGGAAAGGCCAGCAATACCTGGCTGATTGCCATGATTTCTTTCCTTTCTTTCCCCTTCCCTTTTTTTCCTCCCATTTTTGGGATTTCACCTGTTGAATGGTTTCTGTCAATTCTTTAATATTTTTTTTTCAATTTTGTCACAGAATTGTCACGGATTTGGTGACACCTGTCATTCTTGAACAAGAATAAAATAATATTTGATTGATGTCCTGAAACTTTACTTGATGTAGACAAGAGAAAATAGAGTATTTTCTTGATGTTTTCAATGATTTCATCATACAATTTCTGAAGATGTAAAGCATGTACTATGTATACTTGCTCCATTTCCACCTTGTCCTTTGAAATTTTCATTTGTTTAAACTTATTTTCAAAAAATGCATCCCGTAGTGGAAATGGTTCAAAATTAAAACGCGTTTACACATTTTGGAAATCATTTTCTTCAAGCATGATGCATATTTTTTCAATTGATGAGTGTATTCTCTCGATTACATAGCAATAAAAATTGCATTCATTTATTGTACAAACAATAATTTGAAAAATCGTTTTCAACATCTTTTTCAGCACTTTTAAACTTTATCTCTCTGAAATTTAAGATAAGGAATGCATTAATTTGACATGCGCTGTCGAAAATAGGGATTCAACAGTGTTTTCACGTGGATTTAAACAGATCAAAGAAGTAAGAATCAAAATCCAATGGGTTTAAGGGGGATTTTGAAGATACTGTATTTTATTTCATTTCCACACACATTATGAATAGCAATTGTGAGGTTCCCCCACAAAAAATTGAGCTAAAAAAATCTGCCAATAATTCTTGAAAATGCAGTTAATGTCTAAATTTAGGCCCAGAAAATATTACAAACTCTAAACTTGCATAAAAATTTCAACTTTTTTCAAAATCTACCTTATACTCACTTGATTTGACTTATTACAAATATCCTGGATTTAGTGAAGTTTGACAAACATTTAAATAGGATATTTTCGAGTTTAAAAAAGAAAGGATGTATGAAACTCAAAAGACTTTGATTCAAGCTTGGATATTATTGAACAATGCACATGAGTGTCAAAATGGTAAAGTAGTGATGAAATGAAAAAAAGCATGCGTCAAATTTCATCCACTTGGTACTTTTTTCGGAAAATTTTGCACATTTCTTTGGCAGTTGAAAATAAGCATATTTCCGCCAACAATTTTCAGTTTTTTTTTCATTTACATGCTGGTTGATGTCGTTTTTTTTTGTGCTCGGGATATGAATGCCTTAGGCATCCCCAAGGCTAATCAATTACCAGAAACGTTCATCCAGTATTTCGGATAAATAATTGATAATTTTTCAGCACGTTAATTAGGTACTGCGCGTGATACTTCACTCGTGAAGCGTTCCCTGGGTGGCACTAGAAAATAGAAATACCGTAATTGACCATCATTCACCTCGTTATAAACACAAGCCAAGTTAATTAAATTTTTTTAATGCTCATGCTATGCAAATTTAAAAATTAGCACGATTTCTTAAGGAGATATGGAGAACTTTCAAAATTACGACGCCAGGCAATTGAGAAATCAGACAGATGGATTTATTGTCAAATGCGCATCTTTTCAGTTTTTTGTCCCTTCCACTTGACATCTCATGACGACAATCTTTCTACACTATGCAGTACAGTACTTTTTACAATCATTAAAACAACTGAATCACCTTCATCCAGTTTTTTATTCATGATATGGCCATGGCTTAAATTTTTTTCCGATCACCTTGAATTAATTACAATTTACGCGAGGGACGCGTGGCTCAATTTAAGAATATTTTGTAGAAGCAACAATCAGTGACGGTAAACTTTTGCGCGAAAGCAGATTTCTTCAGCATTTTCTATAATCTGCTGATTTGTAAAAACAGGACAAAAACCAATGAGAAATGAGGCATCATCGGTTAATTAAATTTATCTGTTCCCGCCGGAGGTTCGTTATCTGAAACTTCTTTGAACTATGCTTGAATGTTCATATCCGAGAGAGAAAGAAAAAAAATCCTTCAGTAATTTACTTAAAGTAGCCATTATTTTAATTTTCATGGCATCGGTTGTTCACTATATTAATTCTCTTCGTCATTGACTCGGGACAAAAGATGTTCTCTAGTAATTAAGGCAAACGACTCAATTCATCCGTTTCACACGTTCAGATGTCGTTTTATTCAGTTAAATGTATTTGAAAATATGATTGATGCAGATACTTTTTTAGCAAGCCAAGTTTTTTTTTACATGCCTCTCTTATGTTTTTAGACTGCGTAAGGGATGTAATAAATGTAATCGGATAATTATTGGCATTGCTTGCTATGCGAAACCTAACACCATGCATTCACACCTTGGGTAATGATAGTTATATCGCCAGCATATGTATATAATTAAGTACTGCAATGATATTTTTACATAATGGACTCGGGCTAACCATTGAATTTTCCTTTCGGTTTTTAAAAGGACGCAACACATACATACGAGGGGTCTAACAAAAGTTATCGGAATATAAATTGAAATGGCATATAATTAAGCTGAAAAACAAGTATTCTTTAGGGAAAACATATTATTTTGGCACAAGAAAAAACAATCAGCCCGTGTTTGAAACTTTTTTTAAATGTTTTGCAAAAGTCACCCTGGCAGAGTTGTGCTCTCCACTCAGAAGATGAGGTGCCCTTCCTGCAGATTTTGTTATTGTAGCCCTAAGAATTCTTGAAATCAACATGGCATCAATTGCTTTTTAGCTCAATTAAATGCCATTTCAATTTCTATTCCAAGAACTTTTGTTGGACCCTTGAAGTTGTGATAAATATGAGAAGTGAGCGTCCTTCAAAAAATTGACGCTTCTGTGATAAATGCTGTAGTTTCAAAAGTAATATTTTTCATGCAGATGAAAGCCTCATATGATATTTTTGATTTTCCTTTTGGGGATTGAATAAAAAAAATAGAATTTGGGAGATTTTCAGTCCAAGGAACTACCATGCTGTGCAAACAAAAAATAATAATTAAAGAAAATTTAAATTAATGATACTTTTTGGCCCAAAACTGTCCTGTGAAAAGGTTGACAGGATGCTGAACTTATTGGAGGAACGGGTTCATTTGCCAAATCACTCTTTTGATTCATTTCAAAAAGCATGAAGTTAAACTTGTATAGCTTTTCTCTTTCATTAGTGTTTAATAAAATACTGTAGTAGCCAGAAGGTCTCCTGGAAATTCAAGTTATGGAGGTTTGCAGAGAAACGCCTTTGAGTTTTTAGGTTTTTAATCCCAAGGGAATGAATCCAAAGAGAGACTTGAAAAAATGGACATTGGGAGATATTAAACTTTGGGTTGAGGTTCAACCTAATACAATGAGACCCAGAGATTCAGATATAATTGGTGCATCAAGAGTGTCCTAATGTCAGAATGTCTCTAAGTCAAGTCTCATTTTCCCTTAGACTTCAATGCAAAAATTATTTAATTGGCTCTCCTTTATGTTAAAAATTATAAAAAGTCCTCAAAATATTTTATAAATTTTTTTCCCTCAACTTCAAGCAGTAGAAAACAGCAGTGCAGAACAAAACCATGTAGAATCTGATTTTTTGGTATCAAAAAGAGATCATAAACAAAGAAAAATAATAAAGCTTGCTATAATATGCACAGATGATAGAGAAAACTTTGAAAAAAGAAACACAAAATCAGCTTGCTTTTGATTATGAATTACAGTGAATTGATCATGAAATATATTTTATTTTATTTTTTTGAATATAAATAGCTTGATTTGCTCAAGAGATATCAAAATAAAAAAAAATGTTCTGACTTTTAGGGAAATTTTCAAAAACGAGTCCCTATTTTGAGCCAATGTCCAGATGTTGAGCCTGTTTTTTTTTTTTTTTTTAAGTGTCCCTAAATCAATTTTTCCGAATGTTGGGTCTCACTGCATATTCACAGAATATTTCCGACGCATTATTTGCCGTGATAATAATGCACGTCGACGTCAGTACTTTCCGGATGCCCTCAGGAAACGCGCCGTGCGAAGGAAACCCGACAAAAGTACCTCAAGGAACCCATCAGCACAAACGATAATTAATCAATCAATACCAGTCCATAAATGGTGTTCTTGCTACGACGAAGCCCTCTCCTCTCTCCATACATCATTCCACAGTCCATAGTTGAGGCTCGTTATAACCTGCAGGAGCGACATTTGCGGAATATTTTCGAAAGCATCGCGTCCTTCTCGATCCTTTGCCAGCCATCCATGCGACTCTACTGTGATAATAATGGTGTTATTTGAGACCCCTCAGTTATTATAGGGAACAACTGGTTGTTCCGCATTTGTATAGTTCAGTTCAAGTCTCCATGGTGACACGATCGGGTTTCTCGTCGGTACGGAAATTAAAGGAGTACACATGCAGAGTACATCAATGGTGAGCTAGTGTTGGATTAAGTCTTTACTTGCTTTTTCAGGTGCAATTGAGATAATTACTTCGATTTTAAAATTTGCCCTCCTGAATGCTTTCTATAAATATAAATAAATATATATATACTGTATATATATACTGTAGTAAAATCTTGTTACAACAAACTTATTTTGGGGACTTAAGAAAAAAGTAGTGTACTAAACACAGTAATTCAAAATGATAATCACTGGAAGAATTTTCTCATCAGACCTGCTTATTATAGTTTAGATCTTTATTGCTTTCCTGGCATTCTAAGGTTTTTTATTATTGTTTGAAAAACTCAGTGATCTTCTGAAAAAAAGTTAATATTCAATCATGCAGTATCCATCAATTGAAAAAATGTATTCATTCTGGTGCAGATTATATGAGATAATTATTATTTTTGAAATATATCCTCCTGAATGCATTCTACAGTACATGTATACAGTGATATCTTGTTGTATCAAACTTTTTTGGGGACTTCATAATAAAAAAAAATTACTTAATCATTTGTTAAAATGGAATTTTCAAAATGATGACTGGAAGAAGTTTCTCATCAGACCTGCTTCTTCTAGATTAGATCTTGCTTTCCTGGCATTCTCAGGTTTTTTCATTATTGTCTGGAAAACTCAGCTGTGATCTTCTCAAACAAATTAGCTCTATGATATGCATTCCGCCAGTTGCAGGAATCAAATCATTCTGAAGCTGATATGAGATAATTCTGGATTCTGAAAGATATCCTAGCTCCTAAATGGTTTATATTTATACAATGTATATATACTGTAAAAGCTTGGTACAAGGAGCTTTTGAGGGAAAATGCAGAGCAATTTTTTATACTGAATTATCAACTTGTCAGCATGTTTGTCATTTTTGACAGCTTCCATCCATGCTACAACAACCAAGCATTCAATCACATTCTCAATTTGAAATTTCAGACTGCGTCTCCTTCAGTCAGGAAATTCATTAAACATTTCTCAAAAAAGTTTGTCATATCAGAATAGGGAAGTTTGTTCTAACTTCTAATGCAATCATTTGAAAATGTTTATACTCAATGGGCTTTCTGCCAGGACTCAAATAAAATTTTGCTACATTTAAAACTTTGTTATAATGAGATTTTACTGCTGTAATATCCAGGTGGTACCTTGCAAGTCATCCATCCCAAAATTTGATGGTCAAACTTGCAGGGAGGTTGACTAGCAAATTCCACCTTTGCCCCTCAATAACCAGAAAAAACTGATCATTTATGAACCCATTGGAAACCCTATCACAAATGGTCAGTCCTGCTCATTCAGAAAATGGTCTTACAACAATCTTTGAACTAGTTTACTGGACATTCAACCAATGCCCAAAGGCCAAATGAATGCCCCTAATAGCCATTCAACAAATGCCCAAATGAATGCCCCCATATATTTTTCGTGCTGACCTGCTGCTTTGGCCATTTTTTTGCGTTTTTGCATTGATACTTTTTCAATTTCACGAAGTGTTTCGCAATTCGACCCTAGTTTGGCGACGGATTATGGTCGAATTGCGAGGTACCACATGTATTTATATGTTATAGGAACGACTGCTGTGCGTCTTCGCCATTGTGGTTTCCATCAGTACATTAATACTCACAAGCTCGTTCGTTGACTCCAAGACAGTTGACCATTCACAAGCATCCGGTGACTTTGAAGGTGAGCATGTGTTCGATATATACAGTATACACCGAATAGTCGCACAAGCATTGCATCAGTCATCATCAAGACCACATAATGATGAGCCAGCTCATATAAACAGGGATGTCACTTTTTTGCCCGTTTTTTTAATTTGTCAGCATTATAGAACCTCGGCATACACCAAGTACAGTACTGTACCTCAACTGTGCAACATTATACGTGCAGTATGTGTACAGTATACATATGCAGAACTTGGAGTTGAAGCCATGTGCTTCATACTTCATTAACAATAAAACCTTGAATTCAATTTATCCTTATCTTATATACGTACAAATAACCTATCTTTATAGTTGAGAACATGAAGTGGTTAGCTTTCTTTTTGTCCAACCTCCAAGACTCAATACTGTAATACACCATTTCTCTCATAAAAAATTCTACCAATCCAGAACTCAGCTGATAATAATACTGCATATAAGGTATGAAACCTCTTCAGCTCACAAACTTCAAGGACCAAGCACAAAAATGTGAGTCACAGAAACAGCCATTTTTTTCTGGATACTGTACAAGGAGTTACAGGAAACAAAAATGTTAGATGTTTCCCCATAAGCTGCAGATTAAATGAGTTAAAAGGATGCTGAACTTGAAGGCAAGGGTTCATTTGCCCAATAACTTGTTCATTTCCTTTCAAAACATGTGAAGTTAAATTTTTATTGATTTTCTCTTTCCTGTGTCAATAAAATAATAGCCAAATGCCGCAACAAAAATTGTTTTTTGAAGGTTTGAGGGGAGAAGCATTGGACCTATGGGGGTTTTTTAATGCACATTTTCTAAGGGGATTCAGAGGGGAACTCAAAAAAATTCCACATGGGGAGGAATATGAGATGAGGTTCAAGATATCAAGGTTCAACTGCACTAGCCCACATTTAAAACGCTTCACAATTTTATAACACTCATTAGCAAATACCAAACAGCAAGTGTAAAACAACAGCATGTGAACGCATCAGCACGTGTACATAAGAGCAAGTACAGTACATTACTGTACATGAAAAAGATGATACTGTACATCTACACAACCTGATCAGTCTAATCTGACCTAACTGATCTATACTAACCCAATTACAGTACCCTAATATAACCTGACTGACCAAAACCTAACTAAATCAGCGTAATCTAGTCCAACTGACCTAACCTAACCTGATTTACTGAACATGACCTCACTGATCTAACCTAATGTAATTTACCCAACCTGACCTCGTTGACCTGATCAAACCTTATTTTCCTATACTCACTTGTCTGACTTAACCTTTCCACTGATGTTATCCATTCTAAAATTCAATCAATTTTCACATTTTTCAGCAAATCCTCAGAAAGAAGGATCAACAGTCCATCAAGGCATCAAATGGATTAAAAAATCCCACCACCGAAAATGGCCGATTGCAATCCGAAGAAGCAGACTCACCTCCAGAAGAAAGAAACCTCTCATACTCCTGATGAGCCCCGTAGCTCTCGAATCCCAGCAAAGCACTGACCTGAGCATATCCTCTTCCAACAAGGAACGAATAGTGCTCGAAAATTCATCCAATCAGACCAGACCAGTGTTCGTTTACCAGTCCTTCCTTTTTGGTGACATCAGCAGCTTGCCTTCTGCCATGAAAAACATAAACTTTAAAATGTTCAACCCCTGAATTTTACGAAAATGAAAAATAAATAAATAAAAACGATTTTCAGCCACAAAAGAAAAACCGCTGAATTTCACTTTTTTCCCCTCTTTCACGACACATGCGGTTCCGATAAACTGTTTCTGTCCATGTGAACACCATTGTTTAAAACCACAAAAGTACATTGTTTCAACAAATCCAGCCAAGACATGCACACTGACGAAAAATTGCAAAGTTTCGGAGCTGTCCTCATGAGCACTGGTTTCGATACACGATGAATGATTAAACAATGAAAACGAACATCATTTTTTTTTTCGAAACAAAAAAATAATCCGTACGTTACGGTAACGATCCCCCCTTTGTCAACTATAGTAGTCAACCGAAGAAAAGCGGTTATACCCTCAAAATGTTCCTTGAACTTCGGCGATTGAACTGAATATCCTAGCTTTTAAACGAATCAAAAATACAGGATCATGCACGCGCTACCAGACCAAAAAAAACAACAAAATTGAATACGTTTGCGTCAAGAACACATAATCATTAAATTTTAGTCAAAGGAAGACAATGTGAAAAAATTCGGGGGAATCCTGACAGCATCCGGAAAAATCGCAACTATTGGGCACCCGAGCGTACAGGGATAAAATCAGTATTATTTTCAAAATAAGCATTATTACCCATCAAAATGAGATCAACACTACATCATAAATATTGGATAAATTAAACTAAGAGTTTGTCTTTAAAAGGATACTTTTTCCTTGATAAACCACCGGAGTATTTGTCGCTGGCCAAGTCAGGATTTTTTAGCACTCTTTTGACAAAAAATTATTTTAATTACGTGTTTATAACGCCCCGAAATTTACACACGCCTTCCGCACATTTATTGGCAATCACCTTGTATACTTGAACGCTTCCGAAAATAAACAGTGAGCAAAAAAACGGGTCGTTTTCATGAACTCGTAGGCGAAAAAGCCAAAGGTTTGGGTATTCCTCGGAATCTTTGGTTCAGCAACACGAAATACTGAACACCAGTTAAATTCTGTTCCTATACCGAACTCGATCCTTTTCACCCCTCATATAACCGTCAGATGAACACACGAGGATATCTGGGGATGAAAAAAAAAAAAAAACCTTTTCTTTTTTTCTCCCTAGATCAATCTCATCGGCATTGAATGTCGATTAATTCGATGACCGGATCTTTGGTTTCCGTCGCCTTGAAAGAGCTGCAAATCGAATTTCACTTCGACGGTGCCGTGTTGAACTTCGTAGAGAGGCAAACGTTTGAGAACGGGTCCTCGGGTGCATCCGGTTTCTTCCATGATTTCGGAGACCCGCATTTCCGTTCTGCCCAGAAATTCTGAAAAAATGAGATTATAAATATTCCCGAAGTATCATTCAAAAGAATTTTCCACGTCACTTCGTAATTTTTTCAAAACTAACAACTTCAGTTGAACCTCTTTGACTCCAACTCAGGAGGACCCACACAAAATGTTGACTAGGAGAGATTTTGAGTCAGGGAAACCAGCATTTTTGCAGGGAAAAAATTATGAATTACAGGAAGGTAACATCGGTGATCTTCTTGGCCTCACACTAATGAATAAATGAGTTGACGCAGAAGTCGGTTTTCAAGATTTAAATAAATCTCTCGACAATTGAGAATTTTGTACGCGGAAAAAAATAGGTAATTCAAGAAAGAAATCAATTAGAAACTCGCGCAGCATACGTTGTCAAACACCGGAAGTTATAAACTTCAAGTAAAATACTCACCGTCAGGGGAAAATAAGTCCTTGTCATAAATTGTTATACAAAGAACGTCTTGCTTTAGGTCCTTGACCACAAACTGCATCGAATGATTCCACTTGGGATTGACAGCACCATTGACAACCTTGGTTCGGTGGACCTGAGAGCCCATTGTTACTTCGCAGAATGGGTCACATTTCCCTTTAAAAAAATGTCAACCAATTCTCAGTATCACCTAAACTACGCAGAGAAAAATTAGAATATTTGTGCTTCAACAGCAAACTAAATTCATCTTTGGAACACCACAACCAACTACAGTGGCGCCTCGCTTAATGGACATAACCCATTCCAGTGAAAAATCAATCATCAAAAATTACAGTGCATTAACTTAGTAAAATAAAAGCTTCTAAATGCAGAATAGTTTGACATAATTGATTCCATAACAACAAGTAACCTTCAAAATCAGTAATGATGTAATGTGAAGTTAATGGAAAAGCTGATATCCGTTCCAGATCCCTCGAAAATTTTGTTCATCAGAATTCAGAATCTAAAATAAATTCCAAAATACAACACCGATATTCAACATTAAAAAAAAATCATACTACATGGTAAAAGCCAGAATTTAAAAAACAAAGAATATCGAAAACGCTTTCAACCACACGGAAAATGATGCTGACTCACATTTCCCACAACTTCATGCATCTAAATAACGACCAATTTCCACGCAGTTTAATTTCGAAGGAAAAAATTTCTAAAAGGTCGAGTCCTTTGATTTGAAAATCCATTAAGCGAGGCGACCATCACCCATTGTACCAATGTATCCCACATACCGACACACAGAAGTTCAGCTAGAAAAAAAATACTTAAGCAACTAATCTATATGAGTGGTCCGAAAGCATCAAGAGAATGATCGTACATACGAAACGATACTGGAAATCGTTTTCAGATTACATAATAAATCAGGAATGCATCACTCCTCAAAAATATTGCCACCAACTTGAACACGTGCACTCAACTGTCATAAAAGTCCCAGATCATTCAAACGCAGAGAGCCTCCGATTTCATGATTTACCGAGTGGGAACCTCTACCCAATTACAGTACAGTATTACGTAAATTCGGATGTTGTAATGAAGTACCCGTATTGAAAAACCTAATTTCAATATACACTATTCAAGGGAAAGTTCAAGAATTACTTCACTGAATATCACGAAAAATCCCGTCGTTTCGAATTTCGTTACCCAAAAAATTACCTTTTTCAATCCAAGGTGGGTCAAGTAAAAATTACGAAGTAATGGTAGATTGCGTTTTCGGCCTCTCCTCGAATTAAATTTTGTATTTCAACGCAGTAAATCCAATACAGTACTCGAGTACTGTAACTCAAGAGTCCGGATAAGGCAAATTCTACTTCCTCAAAAGGATATTTATCCAGAATAAATTTACGGAGATGCGGGATGACCAAGAGATGAAAAATCACGATGTCCGTAAATTTTACAAAATCACTTAAAAGACTCGGAAATATATTTCCGCTGAGAGGCATCAGCTCCCTCAAATGTCCACGGGTAGTTCAATAGAAATGAATCGAACAAACTTAATTTTTGGAAGAACTAAATTCAGTGGATCACAGAGCGAGCTCAAAAAGCGTAAAACCTGGCGGAATTACGTTGAAGAATTTTGAAAACATATGAAAAAGAATTGTTTGTCAAGTCATAACCAGCCAATTGGATAATATCATCTGAACTCATCGCGCATAACAAAAAAATAGTAACAAATTTGATTCGGCCAACGCTAGTGATGATATTAAATGATTTAAAAAAGTAACTGCCGCATGTGACAAGACAAAAAAAACACCCGGCAATGCTTACAAAACCCCCACATATCCACAGAAAACTAACCCATCACTGTAACAGTGCACGAATCACAGACATGTCAGACAAACAACAACGGCATCAAAATCAAACACTGAAGACAGGCACCAGGTCTATTTTAAAACTCTTTCGGTCACTGTTCAAAACGAGGTTCCCTTCTTGTACACTCCGTGATTACATTCAAGCTATGCAGACCTACGCCAACCAAAATATCCTTCCGTTGCTACTTTTCAAACCTGTAATATTGAGCACGAGATCTTCAGCGGACGCCACCAAAACTCTTAGAACTCCTTTTGACGGCCTCGGCCTCACTACAAAAATTAGTCAGAATCACAACAACAAAAAATCAATCCGGTCAAAAGCATTCGTACAGCACATCAATCACGTCTGTTTCCCTGAGTGAAATAGTGGATTAATGTCAATGACTCGCATGCAATAAGATCCGTGCACCCACGTTAGTCACAAGATTACGCGTGCTTTAACCTAAAACGTTTTCTCACCAGACTTTCCTTGAGCAAGATCGAATGCGCCGATTACGCCAACGAGTACGCGGCCTTTCGGAGGATCTTCGGCTAAGAATTTATCAATTTTTGTCAACAACAACAAAACAATTGAACGGCGTGATTCACGAGGTTATTCCCGTAAGGTCAGCGAATTTTTAACACACTCAAATGTTCATAGCAAGTCACGGTTTTGTGTAAAATATTTTTCAACAAACCTGAAGCTTGTCGCTGAAGTAAGCTCTTCTCTGTTGATGCATAGGAAGCCGCAGCTGCGCGAATTCTCTTCACCCAAGCTTGTTTATCACCCGGGGTCGAAGCTTTCAGACCCACCACAGTATTCAGGGTTTTCAAGATAAAGTGCGACGAATCTTCCGAAAACTCAGGTCCTGCTTTCTCTATGAGGATTTCGTTCAAAATCAAAGGCTGAAAAAAAGGGATAAAGACATCAATGACAATTTCGTCATTTACCATTCATTTTTTGTCGGGTTCCATCAATGTCAAACGTAATATACAGAACATTAATCTTAATCAATTCGACTACTTTTATCCATCTTCCCTTTCCTAAGCTCACCATGAACTGATTTATAGAAGGAACAATCGTGCAATTATTTTACAAAAATTGGGTCAATTTTTTCATAAAAATTAGGTGAGGATCTGTGTATTTGGTTTTTTTAATGCTGTCCCAAAAACCTTGTTGCGCATCTTAAACGAGGGCGTGTGGTACTCGGGTAAATACGGTAATAAAGAAAAAAGGAAATCGTATGACAGTACAGCATTTTCTAACACTATAAAAAACGTTTTCAAGATTTCTGTTTTTTTAATGCATTGTTTTACGAGGCTTCAAACTGCCCGGTCACGATCCAAAATAACTCACATCTCGATACAACTGCAGATAAACGTGAGGTTGGCGTTTTATATTGAGGTTTTTACACGTGTTCGGCTTTGTGGGAGTGGCCAGTAGAAAAAAGTCGTTGAACAAATGACAATTTCGTCATTTACCATTCATTTTTTGTCGGGTTCCATCAATGTCAAACGTAATATACAGAACATTAATCTTAATCAATTCGACTACTTTTATCCATCTTCCCTTTCCTAAGCTCACCATGTACTGATTTATAGAAGGAACAATCGTGCAATTATTTTACAAAAATTGGGTCAATTTTTTTCATAAAAATTAGGTGATGATCTGTGTTTTTAGTTTTTTTAATGCTGTCCCAAAAACCTTGTTGCGCATCTTAAACGAGGGCGCGTGGTACTCGGGTAAATACGGTAATAAAGAAAAAAGGAAATCGTATGACAGTACAGCATTTTCTGACACTATAAAAACGTTTTCAAGATTTCTGTTTTTTTTAATGCATTGTTTTACGAGGCTTCAAACTGCCGGGTCACGATCCAAAATAACTCACATCTCGATACAACTGCAGATAAACGTGAGGTTGGCGTTTTATATTGAGGTTTTTACACGTGTTCGGCTTTGTGGGAGTGGCCAGTAGAAAAAAGTCGTTGAACAGAAAACCCATCAGCTCTTTCCCACTCTTGCTCTGAAAAAAAAAAATCAATGCAAATACAGAAGTTTAAATCATCAGACATCGAAATGATTTCGAGTGAAACTGACTTTTGAAAGGGAGCCGTAGTGCAAAAATTTCCTTTGTCCGAGAAGGTTCGTGATGGAATTGAAAGTGATCTTTTCGGGCAAAGCATCACAGTTCACATGCAACTGAATCCACTCCAACGTGTCGGAATTCTCACGCTCTCGAACGCCTTCGTTCACCTTTAAATATGACAAAGAAACCCGGCAATGATCAAAAAGGTAGTCACAGTATATTCAACCAACCAAGCCAAGCTTAGATCATAAATTGTTTCAACTTCCGCTTCTCTCGTATCTGACTTTTTGCTGGTTTTGAGATGAAATGTTATTTTTATAAAGGAAAATTTTTTTCAAATGCCCTCACCACTGCTACAATTTCTGCTTCAGTTTAAAAAAATGATACATAAAACAGTTATGTGTTTTATGCCTGGTCAAGAATACGTCGCTCATGACAATGAAAAGGCAAAAAGCTGCACAATCTTTGCTTTTATTCAGTCATGTTTTGCTTGAAAACTCATTTGCAAGGTAACAGTTGTCTTTAGATTTCACTATTTTGTTTAATTATTCGCCTTGCTACGCCCGATCCACTTAAAGAATAATCTTGTTGGCACGCAAACGTATTACTATAACCAAGGATAACCCAGTAGTCAAGACTCACTTTTACGACACTTGGCATAATCTTGTGTGACGCAATCGAGCGTATTGAAAATATACCATCTTCAGAGCGGAATTTGTTATCAAGACACTTCCCTAACCAACTATAAATACTGTACACAACAAGATTTTTTAATATTAAAGGAAAGAATTAAATTTACGAATAGCAGCTTAACTCAATTCCGGTCGAAGAAAAATAAAATCGAAATTTCAATTTAGCTGATATGTCCGCATAGATACGAACAACACGCATAACAAATCATTAGGAAAACAATAGAAAGATTGTTCTTCAACACGTTGATCAAGAATTGATTCGATCAAGCATAATACAAAAATTCGGAAATGAACAAACCTGGCTGCACAACTCCTCTGCTTTTTCCAAAGCTTCCTCCAAGTAAAGTCGGTCCGGATGTCCAATAGGAGTATTTTTAAGAATCTGAAATATGTGCATTCGTTAGAAAATCATTCACAGATCAAAGGAAAAATTGGAAAAAAGATAGGTTGAAAATTTACATTTTTTAGAAGTAACGGATAACGAGTGATCCGCTGAGTTGGCTTCAGCAAAAACGAACTCAAAGGCATTCCTTTGGATCGTGCGTCGGTAACGCATATACGATGCACCGCTTCGAATTCAGAGTTTTCTTCTTTTTTGCGATGCAAAATTTCACAAGCCCGCAGTTGACAAGCACAGTACCTTATGTACTGAGTCATATTTGGGAACTAGAAAACAAAAAAAAATTCGAAAATTCATCACATAATACAGATGAGTTTTCGGGAAAATAATTACATTCTCGCACATGATGTCGCCCACAGTGCTGATGATCCCGTGATTGCTCCTGGTTTTTCGTACTCTTAAAGCTCTGCATGAAATAAAATTCAACACCGTCAGCGATCACCAACCTCGCGGGAAAATGCAACTAAAATCTTTCCTAATCAATTTTTGAAATCCATGAAACCTTGACTGTAAGGAAGCCTTCATTCAAATAACCGAACATCCCGCAGAACTGAAAAAGGTTTTTCAAAAGATCAGAAGATGTACTTCGAAATTATATCAAGAGATACGCGCAATTACAATAATATCCAGAAATCAAAACATTTCTTCAAAAACGCAGCCGCCAGCATCTCAAGCTTTTCGTTAAATCATGCACCGCTTTCTTCGAAATGCTTACAAATTTCTGATGCTCACGTTCCTTTCAATTTTGCACGAATTTCTGCACAACTCCTGAAATACTAGTCAACCTGAGTGAAGTAACGCGGCTCGCACGAAAATGTCAATAGCTGCGTAGTTTTTTTTTTTATAAATTTCAAAGTTAATCAGGATTAATAAAAGCCCAGGTGATCAAGGTCCTGAGATGAATAAAAAAAATAATCAACGCACGCAGATGATTAATACTCTGGGATACATCGAGCAGACCCCAAGAATATAAAACAACGGATGATGACGATCCCGAAACACCAAATTAATATTTTGTAGTGTATTACTGCATCTACACTTTACTATTTTTAATAACTGTAGAAACCCGCCAGGAAAAAAATTCTGAAATTGATTTCCGATGCTATAAACTTTATTTAATACACTTTTCCAAAAGGATTCCAATTATTAGACTTACCTCAGAAGTTTATCATTGCAATGATGCAATTCATCCCAGTTCACGAAGATTTCGTGACATTCGTATTCCGTCAAAACGGCGTTTTGCCGCAGTGGCTTCTCAAAAACCTGGATTGAAATCATACACAGAATTGTCTCAATTAAAAAAAGGCCTCAACGCGATTCCGCGACAAATTACCCTTCGTAATGCCAAAACGTGTCACCCTAAAAGGGCCTCTTTATAATTTCCGGAATTCGCGCAAATTTTCATCGGAAGCAGTCCATCATTTTCGAGTAACCACTACATTTCCTCACCATGCAGATTATAAATCAACAAAAATGCGCCGATTGACGCACCAGTAATGCGACATCCATTGCAGAGAAGAAATTGGACAAACTTTTATGGTCGAAATTCAATGCGTGCTAAAATGAGTCGCGAAAACCCTGGCATCTTCACGGCAAGCGAAAAAAAACCAACTCACCTCCTTCACTATGGCCATATCAGCGAGCATTCGAAGAAGGCACAATTAATTAAGTCGCTACGTAAGGACGGCAGAAAAGAGCGTTCGCAGTTCCGATCGCTCCCGGAAGTTTGGAAAGTCGTTCCTAACGGCGCACAACGGAAGTCTCCCCTAATCTTCTAGCTCAACTTCGCTACCTGTCATGCAAAATGTGTAAAATAGATATCAGCTTGTCCAGAAGTTTCCCAGCCGAAATCCGGATAAATCGCGAACCAAAACTCCACCTAAAAAAAAAAATAGTTCTACTTCCAAAACCAGTTAAAATAAACGGCAGTATGCAAATCTACGTGACCGAAAGTCAACAAAAAATAAGATTGTTACTCCACCCGACAACAAAAAACTAAATTACTCGAAAATAAATTGCATCTACAGGAAAAATGCACAACTTTTCAAATGACGGAAGTTTCTCATTGACATGCAAAATAATGAGTTGTAATCTGACTGTCTTTTCAGATGCGAAGCGACATTCCAATTTCTTCAATCGCACTATTAAAAAATTCGCCTTTTTGGCTGGGATGCACGCAGAACTAATTATCAAAATGGAACATACGGTACTTTCTGAAGCATGGCGTCACGCAATATTCCTCTCATAATTCACAAATAAACATTTTCGCAGAAAAATGCCAACGGAATTTTAAACGAGGGCAACACATACAAAGAATATTCAATTGCGCATATTGACGTCATGCTTCAGGAAAATAATTCAAATAAAATGAGTCAAAATTCTCACTCATCAGCGTTTAATCCAGAATGCGCACCAATATTGAATGAGTTTCAATTTTCCGTCTTTTTGCTCAATAGCCTTCGTTCACCTTTAAATATGACAAAGAAACCCGGCAATGATCAAAAAGGTAGTCACAGTATATTCAACCAACCAAGCCAAGCTTAGATCATAAATTGTTTCAACTTCCGCTTCTCTCGTATCTGCCTTTTTGCTGGTTTTGAGATGAAATGTTATTTTTATAAAGTAAAATTTTTTTCAAATGCCCTCACCACTGCTACAATTTCTGCTTCAGTTTAAAAAAAAAAAGATACATAAAACAGTTATGCGTTTTATGCCTGGTCAAGAATACGTCGCTCATGACAATGAAAAGGCAAAAAGCTGCGCAATCTTCGTTTTTATTCAGTCATGTTTTGCTTGAAAACTCATTTGCAAGGTAACAGTTGTCTTTAGATTTCACCATTTTGTTTAATTATTCGCCTTGCTACGCTCGATAAACTTAAAAAATTTGGCACGCAAACGTATTACTATAACCAAGGATAACCCAGTAGTTAGACTCACTTTTACTTGGCATAATCTTCTGTGACGGAATCGAGCGTATTGGAAATATATCATCTTCAGAGCAGAATTTGTTATTAAGTCACTTCCCTAACCAACTATAAATACTGTACACAAGACTCTTCAATATTGAAGAAACGAATTAAATTTACGAACAGCAGCATAACTCAATTGCGGTCAAAGAAAAATTCAATCGAAATTTCAATTTCTATTTACATGAGAAGTCGCGTAGATACGAACAACTTCCCTTGTAATTAAACACGCATAACAAATCATTAGGAAAACAATAGAAGAATTGTTCTTGAACACGTTGATCAAGAATTGATATGATGAAGCATAATACAAAAATTCGAAAATGAACAAACCTGGCTGCACAACTCCTCTGCTTTTTCCAAAGCTTCCTCCAAGTAAAGTCGGTCCGGATGTCCAATAGGAGTATTTTTAAGAATCTGAAATACGTCCATTCGTTAGAAAATTATTCACAGATCAAAGGAAAAACTGGAAAAAAGATAGGTTGAAAATTTACATTCTTTAGAAGTAACGGATAACGAGTGATCCGCTGAGTTGGCTTCAGCAAAAACGAACTCAAAGGCATTCCTTTGGATCGTGCGTCGGTAACGCATATACGATGCACCGCTTCGAATTCAGAGTTTTCTTCTTTTTTGCGATGCAAAATTTCACAAGCCCGCAGTTGACAAGCACAGTACCTTATGTACTGAGTCATATTTGGGAACTAGAAAACCAAAAAAATTCGAAAAATCATCACACAATACAAATGAGTTTTCGGGAAAATAATTACATTCTCGCACATGATGTCGCCCACAGTGCTGATGATCCCGTGATTGCTCCTGGTTTTTCGTACTCTTAAAGCTCTGCATGAAATAAAATTCAACACCTTAAGCGATCACCAACCTCGCGGGAAAATGCAACTAAAATCTTTCCGAATCAATTTCTAAATCCATGAGACCTTCGACTACTGTATAAGGAAGCCTTCATTCAAATACTGTAACCAAAAATCCCGCAGAACTGAGAAAGGTTTTTCGAAAGATCAGAAGATGTACTTGGAAATTATCTCAAGAGATATGCGCAATTACAATAATATCCAGAAATAAAAAAATTTCTTCAAAAACGCAGCCGTCAGCATCTCAAGCTTTTCGTTAAAGCATGCACCGCTTTCTTCGAATTTTTTTACGAAATTTTTGATGCTCACGTTCCTTTCAATTTTGCATGAATTTCCGCACAACTCCTGAAATACTAGCCAATCTGAGGAAAGTGAAGCGGCTCGCACGAAAATTTCAATAGCTGCGTAGTTTTTTTTTTTTTATTTCAAAGCTAATCAGGATTAATAAAAGCCCAGGGAATCAAGGTCCTGAGATGAAAAAAAAAATAATCGACGCACACAGATGAATACTACTCCGGGATACATCGAGCAAACCCCAAGAAAATGAAGAAACGGATGATAACGAAACACCAAATTAATATTTTGTAGTGTTGTACTGTATCTACAATTCAATATTTCTAATGGCTGTAGAAACCCGCCAGGAAAACATTCTGAAATTGATTTCCGATGCTATAAACTTTATTCAATACACTTTTCCAAAAGGATTCCAATTATTAGACTTACCTCAGAAGTTTATCATTGCAATGATGCAATTCATCCCAGTTCACGAAGATTTCGTGACATTCGTATTCCGTCAAAACGGCGTTTTGCCGCAGTGGCTTCTCAAAAACCTGGATTGAAATCATACACAGAATTGTCTCAATTAAAAAAAGGCCTCAACGCGATTCCGCGACAAATTACCCTTCGTAATGCCAAAACGTGTCACCCTAAAAGGGCCTCTTTATAATTTCCGGAATTCGCGCAAATTTTCATCGGAAGCAGTCCATCATTTTCGAGTAACCACTACATTTCCTCACCATGCAGATTATAAATCAACAAAAATGCGCCGATTGACGCACCAGTAATGCGACATCCATTGCAGAGTTGAAATTTTGCAAATTTTCATGATCGAAATTCAATGAGTGCAAAAATGAGTCGCGAAAACCCTGGCATCTTCACGGCAAGCGAAAAAAAAATAACTCACCTCCTTCACTATGGCCATATCTGCGACGTAAGCTTCTTCCGTGTTAATTAATTCAGCGATGCATTCCTGCCGTCTTTTCTCGCAAGCGTCAAGGCTAGCGAGGGCCTTCAAACCTTTCAGCAAGGATTGCCGCGTGTTGCCTTCAGAGGGGATTTCTTCTAGCTCAACTTCGCTACCTGTCATGCAAAATGTGTAAAATAGATATCAGCTTGTCCAGAAGTTTCCCAGCCAAAATCCGGATAAATCGCGAACCAAAACTCCACCTAAAAAAAAAAAAAGTTCTACTTCCAAAACCAGTTAAAATAAACGGCAGTATGCAAATCTACGCGACCGAAAGTCAACAAAAATAAGATTGTTACTCCACCCGACAACAGAAAACTAAATTACTCGAAAATAAATTGCATCTACAGGAAAAATGCACAACTTTTCAAATGACGGAAGTTTCTCATTGACATGCAAAATAATGAGTTGTAATCTGAATGTCTTTTCAGATGCGAAGCGACATTCCAATTTCTTCAAACGCACTATTTCAAAAATTCGCCTTTTTGGCTGGGATGCACGCAGAACTAATTGATCATCAAAATGGAACATACTTTCTGAAGCATGGCGTCACGCAATATTCCTCTCATAATTCATAAATAAACATTTTCGCAGAAAAATGCCAACGGAATTTTAAACAAGGGCAACAAATACACATTTAATTGTGCATATTGACGTCATGCTTCAGGAAAATAATTCAAATAAAATGAGTCAAAATTCTCACTCATCAGCGTTTAATCCAGAATGCGCACCAATATTGAATGAGTTTCAATTTTCCGTCTTTTTGCTCAATATCTTTTGATGCTTAGATCAGAACAAAACAAAATCAGATTTAAAAACAAAACAAAACAAACAAAAAAAACAGTTCCTCAACTTCCAGAAGGAAGACGAAACGACAGAGTTTTCGACCCTCCAACGTGAAACAGACATTGCAAACTTGAGTTCTAAGGCAAACTTTCGCCTTCGGATCACGCACATCCAACACGCTTGAACCAAAACAAAAAACTGGATAATACACTCGCGCAGTAAACGGCGGAAATTTTCCCGAAATTCATATTGCATCGTTTGTTTTCTTCTTTCCAATAGTTCCGTTAACACGACTTTCGCGGGAAAGCAACACGGAGAAACATACACGGATAAAACGGTTTTCAGATCGCTAATAAATATGCACCAGGAAAACCATGAAGATTGAAAAAAAGAGAGATAACTTCGTCCACAAAATAAAACAATCCCTGTTTTACCAATGCTCCAAACAAATATTTTTTTCACAGAAAAAAATCACCAAACAGTTCGACTAAAAACCAAAACCCTCTCCTTTTTTTTCCCTCCAAACAAATTAAAAGGTAACCAGAACTCAAACGGGAAAGAAAACTCTCTTTCCCAATCAGATCACACTACAAGGCAAGCTTCACATGGCCAGGGGGGATAAAAAACAAAACAAAAAGGCAACAAGGAAACAAGAGGCATGCCCGCTTCTCGCACACAACCAGAGAGGATAAAACAAAAGGAATGATCTACTGCAAATTGTTCCCCCTTTTTTGCAGGGCCCATTTCTTCCAACGCAGGAAAATGATACAAAGGGTGTATGATTTCCGAATGCAATCGATTTTTTTCCCCTTAGCATTCAATTTGAGAGTACGGCGGTTTAGACAATCGTTTGATTACCAGGGTAATTCCCCGTCTTCCTTTTTTTTTAACTTCGCTGACATGAAAGATTGGAATACAGTACATCAACCAATTTCAGTTCCTACGTCTCTTCAATTCTGACTCCACAAGGCTTTTTTTTTTAACAATATCTAAGCACAACGGAGAGCTTCAAAAAACGAACCCAAATCTCTTGACGACTCGAGAAAGTTTTGCTGATCACTCGGTTGTCCTGAGATTTTTGCACGCATCGATCGTCGCATCAAATCAAAACGTGGAAGACAGAGAACGATTCAAAAATCTTTTCTCCCGCATTTCCTGACTATCTAAACCGTCTCACTCTCGAATTGAATCCAGAGTGTAGAATTTTGCCAATTGCGGGAATCTGATACACCTCGAAACGTAAAAAGTACGAAACGACCTCGACGGCAAAATGCTCTGTGTGGGACTCAATTCGTCGATCAAACCAGCGTTCATATTCCTGATTTAACGCAGCTCATTGCTGAACGTGCCCATGAACAAAAGAATCACCTTCATCAAAGTTACTACGGAAATATGAACCAAGGTAAACCGACACATGCAAGCAAGCAGGACAGCCTCGTGGAGACAAGGGATTCAAAACACGAAATTTTTCAAAGAGATAACGGTCTTCCTGGCTTCATCCTTGAGTGGACGACCGGCGGAAGTGGTAGAATTGGGCGCTGCAAGCAATTTTTTCTCTAGAGGCTTCCCCAACGCCCGAAATACGCTTCCCCTACATGTATCGCCACACAACAGACCCCCAACAAAGTGCAGAGCATCTCTCTGGAAGATACAAAAAGCGCAGACAAAACCGGCATTCAGTTTTATCCCACACACCACAAGTTCCGAAGCAAGCCTTTTTATTTCAAGTTCCGTTCTCTCTTTTTTTTTCTTACGCCGCAACTCATCTTTTGTTCAATTTGATCACTAAATCATGCATCACACCTTCGGAAAATCTTCTTATATTTTCTCAACAGTTAAAAAATTTCTTCTGCGACATCTTTCCACAAGAGGAACACGTTTTTTTCGCTCGACCGGTCGAGTTTCCGAAGAGAGCCAGAAATAAATAACGCAAGCGTACGCAAACCTTCAAGTCCGCATTATCATTATCATCACTACGAAAGTCCAAGAAGATCCAGGGAAGTCGGATACATAATATATTTGAAAGTGCCACATTATTTTCTATTACACGGGTTCAACAGTGGTGCCTCCAAATTCCAGTCACATTTTGGCTAAGAAAAACTAGGCAGTGCCATTTATCTTGCAAAGAGTCTTACAATTGCCAATGACCAACAGGAAAAATCCAAATCTGTGGAAAACCTAACCGCACACAACCCAAACCACACCAATTTAAGAAGTGTAAATCCTCTTCGACCGCATACCGCAATTTCAAACAACTTCAAGCGACATCTACGCACCAGTGGATAAAATCACGCCGGTGGAACTCAAAGCAACTTCAAATCAGTTCTAGTCGTCAACGCAAAGCATTTCTCCTTCTCAAGTGCGATAAATTTTACATATAATCCGCATTTCGATGATAATTCATATCGGAATTCGAGGCACCACTACACCCCAAAACACTGACTCATCTGCAACACTTGCAGTAAATCATGGTTCCCTCCCCATCAAACACCATCCACCAATAGAAGAATTTCAACGAAGAATATAAGCAGCGCTTTTTTTTGCGTTGAAGCAAAAGGAGGATAAGGGACAACAGAAATGAATTCCGCTTTTTTCAAGAAAATTAAATTTACTCACAGTTCCCTGAGTCAGGTCCGCGGAGAAGCTCAACGTAGTTCGCAGGGAACAAGCCAGTTTCCCCGCTCTTCAGCTCTCCTTTCCACCAGTCCTTCTCATCTCTGGATATGATCGAAATCTTCTCACCCTTCTCGAAAGATAATTCATCAGCATTCTGTGCAACGTAGCTGTACAAAGCGATGAATTGCTCTGGAAAATCAAAATCAATCGAAATCTCAATAGACAACATTTTTAGACAGTCAAAAAAACTATTTTTCTCGTAAGTAAAAGACAATTTTTAGACCGAAGCAGACGCAGAATTGAACAAAACCGACGAATACCCACGAAACTTGAAAAAAAATACACATTTATTTCGGCTTTCATGACAAATCCTTTCTTGAAAGTAACAGAACATGAATATTTTCCAAACCGCGCAAGGTAAACAATGGAACTCAAAGCTAAGCTTCTTAGAAGAGCTGAACACAGGGCCATATTTGTATCGATAAAAAATCGAAACGGAAAACTTTTCTTGTACAAAGTTACAAATAGCGATGAAACTTTGAAATTTTTCAAACCTCTGGGCGGAGCATCGAACATCTCCTTAGGCAAAGGAGAAGTTCTTGTCGAAGAAGCAGCACTGCCACTCCGACTTCCAACAAGAATCTTGACATAAGTACCGGGAAACCAACCAACTTGCTTTTTCTGTCCCTTGGCCTGAAAATACGGTAATAAACATTCACATTCATCTAATGAAGAAAGGTCTTCAACTTCGAAGATTTGTTTGATGAAATACAACAGACAAAGCAATTTCTTCGAAGAACCCTCACTCAACAGGCATTAATTTAAAAAACCACCGATTGTCATAGACTCACTGAGAAAAACTCTTGACACGTGTCTCACGAGAGGTTCTTCGTAAGTATAGCAGATCACCCAATTGTAGTCATACACAGTACTGAATACTGTATAACATGACTAGAAAATATTTTAAAATTATTCCATTTCTTCCTTTATTTCGCTCAATCTAGCATATGGAGAAAATGAATTCATGGATAACCTCTGTGCGACGGCAGAAATTCGTACACGAAAGGGCACGGGAATTGATTTTTCTAGGACTTCATGATTGGTCCGTCAGTTGAAGAAACCACGGAAATTCCTTCAAAAATTCACGTCAGTCGTCTTTGAAAAGTCTTGCGTTGATATTTTGGGTCAATGATTTTTTCAACGTTGGGATGATCAATTTTTCCATTACTTCCTGGGTTGTCTGTCAATTGAGAGAGCCTTGGAAAAATTTTGATAAACTCATCTCCGTCGGCTTTGAAAGGTATCCGTGTTCAAATTATTGTGTGGATGATTTCCCAGACGATGATTGGCATTAAACAAAATCGAGCAACATAATTTTTCGGAAGAAAATTTAGAACACTCATCAGTGACAGGCACACCCTAGTTTTTAACTAACAAGAGTCGGAATTTTTCCACAAGTAAAATATCGATCGAGCAAACCAAAAATATGCAATTCCTTGAGGATTATCATGAATCATCCAATTTAAATACATAAACGTCACCAAATACGGATAATAATCTTAAATTAACGAAAATGCGAAATGTAATTTTAGCGCAGTTTTTCTTCATTTATTCTCAGATCTCCCAGAAAACCCTCGCGCCAGTTCATGAAGATTCAGCAATGATGTGCTCTCAAGGCCTAAACAATGCACAAACCTGCAGCTCTCCTTCCCACCAACCGGAACTGGATTTCTTCCGAATTTGCAACAACTGGCCTCGTTGGAGATTCAGCTGCTCCGCACTCGCAGCCTGATACGGCGCGATCACCTTGGCCACCTCCAACTTCTTTCCTTTTTGCTGTTGAATAAAAAACAGCATCCACGTTGATCACAGTTGCAAAAGATTCAAACGTAATTTTCGAAGATACACTAAAAAACTAATTCATTCACCCTGCGAAGCGATCCCATCCTGCCCATTATTTCCTGCATAAGCAGCATGGAAAAAAAGAAGATTCCAAAGCCACGTGGTTAAAACAGTCGTGTTAGTGACCTTATATAAAACGGCACAAATTTTACCTTGACTTCGTTGTCTCCAGACTGAACACACGTAGCCGCGGGCAAAGTGTAAAAATACAAACAGTCAGCAAAAAACAACGATACAACACACTAGAAATTATCTACGTAATACCTGGGGAACCATGGGAGCCCTCCCGATAGGAGTAACGGAGCCAGATCCGGCAGGCTGAAGACGATGACACAAAAAAAAAATGAACACCTTCACAACCAAGTTCTACTTCCCCGGAAGATAGTGGATTCTTTAGAAGTCGTCGAAAAACTTCATGAAATCAGTTGCTGCGTTGGTGATGCACAATAGCGAAAATGGCTTCGTTTTGAAAACCCTCGAATTGCTTAAAGATTTCATCCTTGAACGAGTTGAATGCTTTGTGTTCCTCAATCAGGAAAGTAAAAAAAGTAACGTACGGCATGAATTTCGCATGTACATTTAACATTAACCATTACACTTACACCATTTAGACAGCTTCCCAATTTCCTTTCCGATAATCACATAATTGACATGATTTTTTTCGATACTTCTTTAGGAGAAAATAACGTACTCAGTTCCTTTCCAGAAATATTGTCATTTTCTGCTACAAAAAAACGTGTACAATATAATGCATGGGTACGTGTCTGCTCTACAGTCATGGGAATTCAAATTTTAGTCCACCAGAACGGCTAAAAATGTCTATTCAAGTACTGTAATTCAAAAATGTCCAACGCAGGAACGTATCTCGAGAGAAGTTTTCGAACGAGGTGTAACAAGAGGAACAAATGTGTATTTACACCATGTCTACAGAAATAAAAAAACCGGGACTTCCTCAATTGGAAAGAACTACACCAGTCGAGCGGAAACTCACGGGGGTCTCAACAGTGGCTCCTTCATAGGGTCCAGTGGGAATGTAGGGTTCTTGTTGAACAAAGGGTTCTTGTTGAACGTAGGGTTCTTGCTGAATATAGGGTTCTTGCTCGGCAACGTCGATGTCGGCCTCGGCGACCGGCTCGACGTAAGGAACCGAGTTGGTGACACTCGCTTCTTCCTCAGCCGTCTGCGCCGAGGGGTTCAAAAAGCAACGAGTTCAAAAATAAAACAAATTTCAACCCAAAAATCCCTTGTTAAATCAACTAGTCATTCATCAATGACGCTACGGTTACTCCCAAACATCTGTTGCTCTCACTAAAAATTGAAAATCTAGGTCCACATATCTACACGTGCTGGAAAGTGAAACTCTTGGTTTCCGAAAAGTTACCCGAGATCACAAGAAGTCACGATTATTTTCAACGATTTCACACATAAACCAGTCTTGATATTACAGCGGCGTCTTAGAATCACAAGTTAAATACCAATTTACCGGGTTAAAAAATGATTCAATACTACATCTAGCACTTGACAATCTCTTTACCACCACGAAGAAATCCGACAATTTACAGTGAACACGAGAGAAAGCACCTGGGAATTCCATCATTATATTCGTCCTTATTCGCATAGTATTCTTGATTTTGCTAAAAATGTCAAATGTTTCCTAAATAAAAAGATGAAGTGTCTTCGTTCGCAGTTTTATGTTCTAGAAAACTACGCTAACTCTTCCATCACTCAGGGGGTGTATTGCTTTGCTTAGGCTGGGGCTCTCGCAAGCAATACGCCTTAAAGGCACTACGCTTTGCGCAAAAGGAAGCTAAATGTAGCATTAACTAAATTGAGCCTCCAAAAACTCATCAAAAAGGCTATAAAAAACCATAAAATGTTTGCGCTTTTCAACATTAAATGGCGAACTTGAAATTGATGAAAAGATTTTCAGAAGTTAAAGCTGTTCAATTTCGGTTAAAGTATTTAAAACGTGTGTGCCTACTCGTTTTGACTCGTTTTTATTCCTCTAAAAGAGGAGTAAAACAAGTTTAAAAGTTTTTTGACGGCTTCAAAGTCAAGTTATAAACTAATTAAAAATCGCATTTTTTCGCCCAAAAAATTTTTTTATGCGACTCACTTTTTAACCCTGGCGAAATGTGAAATTTTCGTTCTACGGGTCTTCCGTCATGCGGGGACACATAACTGTACGATATTGTCATTTGAAAATAATGCAAATGCAAACGCATATTTTTAGGAAGTGCATCAAAGATTTGTTTCTAATCATTTCTTTTCGGAGGAACTGAACAATTGAAATTTTTAAAATTATGGTGACGCATACCCGCGTTTGTTTACGGTTATTACAAACGCTTGGATTTATTGAGTCAATAATGTCGACCCGAAGACCATCACATCACAAATCCAATTGCTGAGAACTTCAATGAGGCCTTTGATGAGACCATCACCTGAACCAGCAGAATCGTTATTAGCGTCCGATTACTGACTTCTTCGATTACCTTCAAAGCTGAGTTCACATAGCGAAAAGCTTTCAACCAATATTCCCACACTTGAATAAACAATCCATAGTGGTGACACTAAACAAAGAAAGTTAAGGTTTTTGTGCTTGAGAACTGTTAGTACGTACATACTTTTATGGGTCCAAAGTTAGGGCTAAACCTTTGAAATAGCGAGTAAAGTTTGGGACAAGCTTACGCTTTCTTTCCGTTACTCACAACAGGTTGGTCCACTTTCTGAACATAGTTAGCAGGGAATACTCCGGTGTGATTCGGATCCTGGAGGTAACCAGTCCACCAGTCACCTTCGTCCTTCACCAAGTAAATGGTTTCTCCTTGCTGGAAATTCAGATCACCGGGTTCTGCGCTCTCGTAGGCGTACAGAGCAACACAACATCCTTCAATAGGGAGAAAATAATGACGATGGCAGAATCAATCACAAAAAATTTAAGTTGAGAAAAACTTCGGCGGAACACCTGAGAAACTGTATTCTACACGAGCAAAGGCTAACCTGCTGGTGGAGCGCCATCCACAAAAGAACCATTCACCTCCGATGTGAACGCTGAGCCACTGATGGTGGAAAAAAAAAGAATTTTTCTGATCAGTAATACGTTTGGACACAAAATCTTCTCATGATTATATTTAAAAAAAAAAGCTTGTCATCCATACAGAATCTTGAGCTATTGATTTTAAAGGGGTTAACCTTATAGAGGCATGCAGCTTAAAAAGTTCAGGGACAGACTCGGGGCATCTTTTTCCACATAACTTGTGGAAGAGTTAAGGGGTTGCCGAAAGGAACCAAAGATTCAAACCCACATAACTCAAATTTTCTGGAGGCCTTCAGGCGATTATTTTATTGGCACAGGAAAAAATCCATAAAAAAAATATAAATTGATGCATTCTAAAAGGAAGTTAAAGACTATTTGGACAAATGAATCCTTGCCTCCAAATTCATGTCAACTCATTTAAGAAACAATTTGAAAGCCCATAATATCTCCAATTACAATATCTTATAAATATTATTTCTTTCCCCCAATAAAAATGATTGTTTTCCCAACTCAACATGTTTCACTGTTCCAAGATACGTTTCACAGCAGACTAAATTTAATTCTGCTTCTTTTTTCTAATTTCTGTAATGAACCCAAGAAGACCCACTTTTCACCGTACTCCTCACTCCAAAACTTAGCCAAAAATGAAATTATGGTTAAATGAAATTACTACTAATGAATTGGTCAATTCTACATTGACTTGAGATTTTCTAGGATTATTTTCTTCATGTTCAAACATGTGTCGATGAAACGTATATCCCTAACATTTCTTACAGCTGTGCTCAATTTCCCTCTTTTTAGCTTCCCAAATAATCTTGAAAATTCACCAAGATTCATTCGGGCTATCAAATCCCAGTCAGCAACTTTTCGGGCTATTTACATTCCATTAGCCAATTCAATTTTCATGTTTCCTTCGGGTTTAATTTAAATTAGGATGAATATGTTATGTTTGGTCACGTTCGAGATTGATTGGCGGCACACACGATATCCTTGGCACTTCAATTTCCAAAATCAATTCAGTATCATTTTGGAACACGCTTCATCAGTCAGAACAATCTTTCAATCTTCGAATTTTCAAACCGGTTTTCTCTTTCAGAGAAGTAGTCGTTGAAACAAAGATAATATTCTGACAAAGAAACGGTTATTACGCTCACTTAAAAGTGTTCGTCGGAGGTTCGTATGCAGAAGGCTCGTCCTTCACTGGTATGAAGGCATCCTCCTGCGGGAGATCAACTTCCGGAAGTACCGGTTCCGCACTGGCAATCGGAATATCCGCATCCGGAACAACAGCTTCGGTTACTAGCTCAACGTATGACTCGGGGAACCAGCCAGAACTTCCGTTCAAATCCCCATGGAACCAGCCAGCTTCATGACTACCAGCCTCAGTTATCTTGAAGAATAGAACAAACAACTCGGGCATCAGAAGACATACAGTATCACGCAAACTGACGAAGGAGAAAGCGTCATTTTCGATAATTTTTTTTCTAGCACAGAAAATGACTGGTGAACACAGGAGTGAGTCATAAAAATACTGTATATCCACACAGATATTTTAACCGTGATGAAGAAAATGGAAATTTTTCGCGTTCAGTTTTTTTTTCTTTAAAGGTTGAACAAACTGTTCTTCCTACTTCATAAACTTTTCAAAGATGAGTTCTAACAATCATAAAGTGACATTAAAATGAATGAACTTCAAAGGTAAAAAAAATAAACTTCTATTCGTTCCGCTTTTGCAGTACTTTTCTCGATTGCTCAAGACATTAGTTCAACATTTTCTGAAATATCCGACCTGTAAGCTCTACCAAAATGATGTCCGCGTCAAGATCAATGGCATACGCTCAGAATTTAAAAAATAAAATTGAATTCGGCAGGTGATCGATCAGATCTATTAGTCAAGATAGAATTGAAAATACGAACAACTTACGAGGCTCATTACGAACTCTACGGTGCTCTCTTGATATTCGGGGACTCGAACTTTCCTCTTACTTGATGAGAAGGCATTACTAACTTCTCCACAGCTTACACTAATTCATCAGCAATCCGACTGCTTCCGACTATCAAACCTCAAGTTATTGTTCGACTCTAAGCAGAAAGCTCAGAAAAAAGCTTTGACGTAATTCGAATAAATTTCAAAATAAATAGAATTTTTCTATCATGTGAAGATCAACTTTCCAATCGTCCATATATTTTTCAGTTTGCTAACTAACAAATAAGAACTACAAATTCGATTAACGATGTCGAAGGATATAACACGGTACGCTGATATTCAGGAATACTAATTTACATGAAAAAGGGTCTTTCACGACACTTGATCCGTTGATGGTAATTTCCCACGCGACTGATGAGAATTTTTAAAAAAATCCCCGCAAAACGCCAACTTTCCACACACTATTGCGATCCATTTCTCTCAATATAGATCCATTCTTTCCAGCTCCAAGAGGGGAATAAAAATATAAAAAAGAAAGCAAGAATATCCTGGTCAACATGAAGTCCGAAGGTACTACGTATTAAAATGCTGAAATAGAAATACGGCCACACATAAGATGAAGTATAGAACTGGATTGGTATTTAGGTTACCGAAACACAAGACTTATTTTTTTAATTAGGACTTAGTTTTTAATAAATTACGGATCTAGTCACACAAAATTATATATTCAAATGTTCTTGTCGTAATTAAGATCAAAACATTAAGCAGAGAATCAAGCATTAACATAATACTGTTGCAAGAACGCGGGTTCGAATATTTTCACAGGTTTTTTTTTTTTCAAAACGGTTCATCGAATTATGGAAAAATCAAGGCTTATCTGCAACCTACAAAAATCCAATGCGCATAGGAAAAGTTTCAACGACACATCATTCCAAATCAAGATGTTACCGTAAAAATAAAGAGGATCTTTTCTAAGAACTTACAGAAATTACGTCTCCGGCGTAGAATGACAATTCATCCGGATTCCGTCGCTCAAAATCGTACAGAGCGCGATAAAGCGTTCCCGGCGGAGGCATCTCCACAGCAGCTATTGTGAAGAATGTCGAAGAAATGTATAAATGCATCACTTCGAAATTATTCACTGAAAAAAGCCGGAAATACGTACGAGCAGGTTCTCCCCAACCGTCTTGAACAGGTGGCCCAACATCAATTGGTGTGGTGTCGTCTCCCCAAGCGGCTGTTGGGTCCAGCAACGCTTTCAGTCGCTCACTTTTTACGCGTTCGCGAGTATCCATCACCTTAAGAGATCATGAAAATTTTCAGTAAAAATGTTCACAAAACAGGGCAGAATCTTTCAAAAGAACATAAAACACAGAGAAAAAAGAGAAGGAAAGTCTAAAACCATGAGATTTTTCACGAGGGGGAAAGGAACAGCAAACAAACATCGTCGTTCAAGCAAACGTTGGAAGAGCGAATTTAGACCAAAACTCAACAAATTATATGCATAAATTTTAGAGGATTCGAATTGAATGTATTGTCTTGTAAAACGTGCGAAGTGCATTCTCTCAAAATTCTATAATCACATCCCTCACCAAATTAAGCTCGAACAATCAAGTGAACAAAAATGTTCGGAAGCTGAAATTACACAGCGAACTCATCACGTTATACCTACTTAACAAACTTTCGTATTGGAAGCACTATTTAAAAAAGTGACACCCGTCATTCACTCGCACCTTGACACGCTTTTCCCGATAGGAAACAACCAAGTTTTTCTGATTGTGAAGCAACTCGGTGAGCAGCGTTTTCAGCTGCGCCAATTCCTCGGTAAATGTGCTCAGTTCTCCGAGTTTTTGATCCTCGTCTGCCTTATATTCGTCCAGTTTCGCCTTCAGATCATTAATCGCAGCTTGCTTCTTGGCAAACGTAGCTGCCATCGCATTTCCATCTTTGATAGCAGAATGCAGATATTTTTGCATGTAGTGCTAATAATATGCTTGGAAAATACCTGGGGCTGTGGTCATATTCATTCTGTTCCTTTCGGAGAGTTTGGCTTTTTCTTGAACCACGACCATCATACGCTGCTGGTGTTCCATGAGAAGTTTTTTATACTTATTCAACTCGTCAATTTTTTCGTCTCGGGTTTCCCGCATTCCATCGATAGTGCCCTTCACGCTGATTACAGAAGACCGCGTGTCGGCTACCTTGTCAGTCAACTCCTTGATCTTTCCATCCTGAAGAAAAATTTTTCATAAAATTATCTTGATCACACAGAGCTCTGAAATACCCCATTCTGTCCTCTTTTTTTTTAGCAAACGATTTCTTCACGGTTCCTCTCCCTTCGTATTATCAATCAGTACTAAAAAAAAGGTTCGGAGAGATCGCAACCGCGACATCCCACGAAGATTAGAAAACAATGGCCAACTTGAATTGCAATGGATTGAACAAAAGGCAGCTCTAAAACCCCCCGTCAAGACGATTTTCTCTGGAATTATACTGTATTTTCAATCCGACAAAAAAGTTCCAAGCCCTGTCAATTGAAATAGCTTAGTACTGCGCTGCACAAACTCAGCACTAACTTTCAATTGCCTTATTTATTCATTTCCAAGAATATTCAGTACCTTACGTAGCTCGTAACATTTGACAGACTCCCTCTACAACGAAATTCAAGGGCCCAGAAAAATGGTGTCGTAGAGTACGTAGACCATGTACAGAACTCCTCGGGACTAAGAAAAAATCGTCATCGAGAGAAAATCGTCGTGGACAAAATCGTTGTAGAGTCTAACTGTAGCAGATTTTCTAGAACGTTAGGGGTCTGATTAGATTATGTATTATTACGACGGTCAAGTGTTCGGTTAGTTTAAATCAGGCCATAATAATGAAGAATATCGCCTCCAAAACGAAATTATCTCCATCATGATACATTTTTCCGTTCGATAGAGACATCGTAGTGGAATCCAATTATAGTACTTCGCTCAACACTTCAGATGATGGGAGTGAGAAGCAGAAAAATATTTACATCAAAATGTAATCTTGTTCTCGCAGAAAATACTGAACATGGTATTATTCTCACCACGTTCCAATATCAGGAAGTTCGAAACTAGAAACGTTTCAAAACAGAATAAAAATACTGTGTTGCATCTCTCAAAACTTTGACGCTTTCATGTTCCCTTCTAAAATACATGAAACGTTAATTTGTTTCTTTTCCATAAGTTATTCATAATATTTACGCAGAAAAAAAGATCATACCATTTGTTCTAATTCAGCAGCAAGTCGCTGACTTTGGGCTTTCAAATGCACGACCCTTTCCTGCTCTCTTTGACGTTGCTGCAGTAATTCCTGCCTGCGTTGTTTCTCCCATTCCAGCTGACGTTGGCGTTCCATTTCCCTATTACACGAAAGGGCACGCGTGACGTTGAATATGTTTCGCAGTCGGAATGTTTCTTTTCTTTTTTTATCAAGAGAAAATTCCCGAGTTGTTATCAAATACTCACTTCCGGGCGGTTTCCCGCTGCTCTTGAATTCGGCGGCGTTCCTCCTCGCGGGCTTCCTCGATTTCCCGCTGGCGCTGGAGCTGCTTTTCGAGTTCTGCTTGCTTTTTGGCCTCCTGTTCGAGCCTGAGGAATACGATGTAACGCTTGAACATACTAGAGCAGATTTCAACTGAAATTTTTATTGCAGCGGAAAAATATACAGTGGGCCCCAGACATGCGGATGCCCTGATACACGAACGATTCAACTTAGGAACACTTTATAACTTGAATAATCTGCCGAATATCCAGAAATTGTCTCTAAGATAATGACACCTGACCATAATTGCTAGAACAATGGAAACATTCTATCTTCCAAAATTTGAATATTTCTCGAACAAATTGAGCTTCTTACATTCACAAAAAAATTAAATATAATGCGATCATAAATTTAATATAACTCAAAATCCAAAACATGCCAAATCTGTGCGTCTTTTTTCAGGGTTCTTTCCATCATCTGAGCCCAGTGCAGGTATAGGAAAACGTGTGCGTGTTCTTTGCTTTTTTGGTCTAATTTTCTTGCCAAAAGATCCGATCAAGTGTGGTTTTCTTTCGCACTGTCATTTCCTTAACATTATTATGAAGTTCATAAAAATTATTTCATTCAATTCAAGAACCATTCAAGAACCAATTAAATATTAAAGTCTAAGGAAAAGCGTGATTCAACATGCGGACATTAAGACATAAGGACAAGATTAAAGTAACAAACACGTCCACATCTTGGGGGCACCACTGTTCAATTCAATGAAAAAACGTGTGCGTGTTCTTTGCTTTTTTGGTCTAATTTTCTTGCCAAAAGATCCGATCAAGTGTGGTTTTCTTTCGCACTGTCATTTCCTTAACATTATTATGAAGTTCATAAAAATTATTTCATTCAAATTATTGGGTGGACTTTTTCCCAATTTTTTTCGTCAACGGGAGAACCAATTAAATATTAAAGTCTAAGGAAAAGCGTGATTCAACATGCGGACATTAAGACATAAGGACAAGATTAAAGTAACAAACACGTCCACATCTTGGGGGCACCACTGTTCAATTCAATGAAATCAGGAGTTGAATAAGAATTATCGAACATCNAGAACCAATTAAATATTAAAGTCTAAGGAAAAGCGTGATTCAACATGCGGACATTAAGACATAAGGACAAGATTAAAGTAACAAACACGTCCACATCTTGGGGGCACCACTGTTCAATTCAATGAAATCAGGAGTTCAATAAGAATTATCGAACATCTTCTGACTTCCAAGTAACCATTCAACTATTCCATAGTAATTTTCTCCTGTTGAATAGGCGATTAAAGGCGCACCTTATCCTTTCCAGTCGTTCCATCTCTTCCCGTTCTTTCCGCTGCCGCTCTTCGATTTCACGTTGCTGTTGTTCTTGCAATATTTTCCTCCGCCGCTCGATCTCGGCTTGACCACGATCGAAATTTTCTTTCCGCTTGTCTTCGAAGGTCACTAAAAATCCGCACGCAGGAAAACTCAATTTCGAGGAACACATTTTTCATTCACTCGTATATCTTTGATATACTACGGGGTGATTCACGCTCTACTAGAACCGTACCAAGGAGAAATTTTCACGGAGTTACGAACATGTCATAATAGATTTCTGGCCAAGAAATTGAGATAATGCGTAAAATAAAAAGGGGCGTTTTCCGTACGATGCCAGGCCAAGTGTTGGACACCCAGGAGAGGAAAATAGACATTTCTCCTTTTTCAGAACCGCTGCTTAAAACGGAGAAATGGTGGAAAATGAGCGAAATCCTTTCCGTCAAAATAAGAAATCAATGATTAATATAGTATTTAATTTTGAGGAAAACGAATCTTAGCTCCTCTACTTTCCGTTACATTAGCAAGGAATGGATCACATCAATTTGCACGGAAAACTGCGGATTAATTTCCATTCCCTTTCACAAGTCCCTTCTCGTTCACGGGATTGACATTCTACGTTTCTTTCTCATTGCACCGCGTTTCGACAAAGAAATTTAATGATTATACGTTCAAATTTCTTTCAAGTACTCAATTTACGACGTTCGTAGCACGTGAGTCACCAACTCACCATGCAGTAATCAACATGTAACATCTTCCGTCCCATAACTTGACCGGAAACGGAATTTAAACGCAAGCTTAATTTAAAAACATAATCGCTGAAAACTTCACGAGCGAAAGCAAAAGCCAAAAAAAATATTTCATGCAAAAGCGGAAGAAAATTTTCCATGCAGAATCAACAGTCAGCCCTGTAAAAAATGTTCATGAAATAAAATGAAAGTACCGGACAAAACAGAACAAAAACGAGGGAGGATGTGGGGGTGGAGGCGAGAAACTTCATAAAACGTGCATGAAAAATTCGGGACATAATTAATCACACAAATTATCAAGCGAACCCGCATTCTCAACACGCTCGTGGCTGAAAAGATTTACCTGAGTCATTGAAAGCGTCCAGAGATACGATATCAGTGCCCAGACCTT